TGTTGGGGAAAGCAATAAACCCAAAATGCCAACTGGCTTTGAAAAATAATTTCTGTTTTCCTCTTCTGCTGCATCTCCCTCCCAAGCGTTCCCAGCGTTGGATAGCTGGAGCAGCAGTACTTAATGGTGACATCTTTGTGGATTCCATTCCAGCATTAGTTTGATGAGTTACTTTAAAGTCAAAATATCCTTCAAATGCCCACCCAAAGTCTGTCAGTCTCTTAACACTACTCATCCTCTCCAGAGGGATTTGAAATTCAGATGTCTCTGTGGCTCAGCACGAATTGCTGTGCAACAAAATACAGTTGAAGTTTGACAATTAATCATGAACACATAATGAATAACAAATAATCTCTAAGCATGCATGTAGCCAGTGCAGTTCCACCAAATGCTCAGAGGGTCCTTCTACTTACTCAGATGATTTTGTTCCCTTATGTCAGTATTTATAGCAAGAAAATGTTAGAGATCATGTTACAGCACTGTAGTTCTAAGCATAAAACTTAGGAGTGAAGTTGATCACTTTGTCATACAGGTACTGCCAAATGCCTCATTTCCAAGATCAAATGCTACAAGTTCAGACTCTGCTTTCCTCTAAATGTCAATAAACAAGCACCAATGAGCAAACTGTCACCAGGATCTTTTTTTTTCTTTCTGGGTATACCTTTGCCTTCTCAGAATAAACAATGGATCAAGTGTTGCATTTTGTCAAAATTTTGCCTTAAAGCTGTCATTCAGTTATAAATAAAATATATATACAAGATGAATTAACTAGATAAACAGATCACTATTGATGAAAAAATATAACTCCAGAAAAAATTACTGCCAACTATTTGTAAAAAGGTCTTTATTGTACTTTATCATGAGGTTTCTTCCTCTTTTTTTGGCTGCTTTGCATGTGTTCCATGAATGCCTCTCCACTCCCTTCATTTCTTTCCTCCACAACAGGCCCTGTACAGAGAATGCCCATGTTGTCTTCTACCCCATGTCACTCTCCTTTAACTCCTTTCTAGGGTTTTCAGCTTTTTCACTCACCCATCTCCCACTGATTTTCTTGTTAATAATTGCTAACAAGTCCAAACACTTTGCTCTGCTTGCAACAAAAAGCTCAGGAGGATCTAACAGCATGTCCATCGAATTCAGCTCATCACAAACCCACCCATTCCTGTAGTCAGTCTCTGCTGCATCCTTCCATTCCCTCAGCATGCCAAATCTCATTGGAACTGGGAAGACCTCGGGGTGGGGATGATGAGTTTACACTCCCTGGCAGAATACAGGGAGACACAGATAAGATGAGCAAGACTTTTTGGGTCCGTGGATTACAAACCAGATCATTCTCTGTCTCTGCAAATTTGCAGATGTGTTGAGCTGTGGTTTTGTTGACTGCTGTGACCCTGATTTTCCACCCTGAGTGTCTGTGCGCTGCCTCACTGGCACGCTAACCCTGGCTGGGTGCTCTGCAAGCAATTCTCCTCATAACCACAGCAACAACAGTGCCACAGTGACATAAATAGGCTCCTGTAAGTGCACATTTTTACTTTGATTTAATAATAATAACAGGAATGGCTGACAGGAGAAACAACTGAGCAAAAAGGCAGAAATATTTAACTAATGCAGACCTTTTCATGTTTGTGCTTCCACCACACAAACAGGCCATGCTGGAGCCTGCAAGTATAGGCAGCAACAATATCTTGAGGGAAAGAGGAAGATGTTTTCCAGTGGTCTATATGCCACTTTTCAGAGTGTGGGTAACATGTAAGTAAAATATTTTCATTGATGAGGAGGAATGAGATTGAGCTGATGTAACTACTGAATCAGGCAGGATGATTTACCAAAATGCAATATTAAAATACTTTGCCCCAATCCTTTAACATAAATAAATAAATTTGAAAGAGAGAAGGTAAGAGTGCATACAAATCCACCACCATTATTTTAGAGATGCAGAGACAGTAACCTGTTCCAACTAACCCTGTTGAGGAGATGTGGAATGGAGTGGGGCTGGCTGCAGAGAATCAGGCTGCTGATCCCTCCAGTGAACCAGAAGTGTGCTCAGTTTGGAGCTGTGTGAGGAAAAAGCCTCATTACACCTTGCAAAAACTTCTTTTCTGTGACAGACATTAATCCAGTCTGCATGGAAGGAGGATTTTTGAACTCAGTGTTTAAACAACTTAATCAGGGAACAAAAAGCGGTGTTTGTTTAGGAACCAGCAATCATAATTTGATTATAGGAAGGACAGTTGTTATAAAAAGGACAAAGGACAGTCCCAGTGAGGGAAATTGTTTCTCTTTCTCCCCTCACCACCCTCTCTCTCACACACACACACACACTGATGCTTCAGAGAGACCTTCTCCATCAAGATGGGAGGAATGACGAGAAAATTGCGATTCAAAAATAGAGATAGATATGGAAATGAGAATACTTATGATCTTACTCCATAAAGTCATGATTGCTTAATTAACAAAATGGCCAATTTTGGCTGAAGGACGACTTTGTCTCAGCAGCAGGGTGAAGGAAACACTCAGAAGTTAAAAGCATGATATAGAGCAATGTAGAAAGGCAAAAATACAGGAAAAAATGTTCTGTTCATACAAAATATGAAGACTACAGAAAAAGCATAAATGGTGTGACTACAGATAGTAAAATGAGGGGTGCAATAATGCTGAGGTGTATGTCTAGAGATGGTAAAATAACACACAAGTGGCAGAAATGCTAAAAACCTTTATTTCCTCCTTAGAAATATTAAGGAAGAGACACTTTTCTTATCTTGCAGAAAAAAAAAAAAAGAAAAAATAAGCACTTTTCCATCCATTAGTCAGTAATGAAATTGGTTGGCAAGATCTACTAGAGCAAACATTTTAAAATTAGAATATCTACAGAACTTTTATATGACAGTGTTTGAATAAGTGGCTAAAGAAATTCCATGAATGTTAATTCTTAATAATCACAGAATCATACAAAGGCTTGGGTCAGAAGGGACCTTAAATATCATCTAGTTCCAACCCCTCCCTGCCATGGGCAGGGACACCTTCCACTAGATCAGGAATATAAATGAAATTAGAGGATCATGCCAATATTCAAAAAGGACAAGAAAGAGGACTGGGTTGCCCAGGCCATGAGGCTGCTCTGCCTGTGACAAGCATGGAAAAGGTGACAGAAAATTAATTAAGGAAGGATGACAGAATAACAATTTACTCAATGCTTGGCAGAATCTGCTCTTCTAGAAAACAGGGCGAGCCAGACAAACCCAATTTGCTCCTTCGATGGCATTACACGTTTGGCATATAAATGCAATCACATAATTGTCATTTACTCAGATGTTTGCACAGAGTCTGATTTAGCACCTCCTGGCACTGATTAAAAATCAGCATAAATCAAGCCCTGGGAAAGCTCATCTCCAGTGGGATTGGCAGTGGCCACAGAGGTGCCAGGTGCCAAGCATGGCAGGGTCAGGTGCCCATCCCCACACCCAGGGGCCCCCCTGGGCACACACCCCACCCCAGGTTTGGGGCACAAAGGCGAGTGACCAGCTCACCAGCTTCGCCAGCAGCAAGAGACCAAGAGGACACTGGTGCTGAAAGACTGAGATTGCACAGGTGAACTTGCCAAGGGAGATATATTTATGCAGCTGAATAACCATCTTTGAAAACAAGCAGCAGGATGGAAGTAATGACAGTAAGGACTGGCAAGGAGCACAGGAACCCTGAATTTGGAGTAGAGAAATAATCCCTCAAAGTGGTTTGGAAACACAGTGAATGACAAATATTTGTGGCTTCCAAACTCTCCCTTTCATCTTTTTTCATTAAAACTAGATTTTGACATTTATCCCGATTTGCAGCCTGGTCAAGAGTGAAGACACCCAGCTTCCAGCTCTTTGTGTAAACTCATGCCTTCTCCCAAGAGTAAAGCCAGCTTGGTTTTATTAACCTGAGCTCAAGTACTCATGGAGCGAGGCTGCTGACTGGACATGTCACTGTGGACATCTCACACCACCCTTCCCTGGCAAAACCAAAGAACAAGGCTCTGTGTAGACTTGTCATCCTTTTAATGGGGATGTGAAAAACTCCAATCACTTGTTTTTAACATTTTGAAAGTTTAATAGTAATAAAATGGTTATAAAAATAGTAATACAATTAGAGTAATAATAATTTGGACAATTTGATTTAGGACAATATGAGACAATAGAAACAAAGAGTGATGGACATCCGGGTACCTTTTTCTGGGCAGCACGAGCCCGAAAAAGGACCCACGTTAACAGAGGATTAACCCTTAAAAACAACAGCCTGTTGCATATTCATACACCTCATACATGATGCATAAATTCCACTCAAACACAGGATTCTGTCTGGTCAGTGTCACCTTCTTACGGCGCCTTTGAGGTGGGAAGAAATTAATCTCTTCTGATAAGAGGGCAATAAATTCTTTTCCTCTGAAAGATTTAGGTGTCCTGGGGCTACTATTTCGCTGCAAGTCCTTTCTTTAAAAAAAGTATCCTACATAGCATAGTTTCTATTTTAACACTTTTTATAACCCAAAACCATATTTAACACACTACTTAAGGGAATTAATACAGCATTACTTTCTAACACAACACATATAATATTCATTTCAGTATGTGCGAAAAGCCAATCATAAAATACACATTTTCACGAGGATAACCACTCTTCTCATTTTCTTATTAGATTTACGCTATAACTCCAAAGCTGCTGACAAAAGGGAGGGAAACAAATGAAAGAAAGGGAGTCACAACGAAAAGGTTTTGTTCTTGGCGCAAGAGGGTGTGGGCCTCTCGTGGTGTGATCCTTGAGGGTCAGGTGTGAGCCTCTCGTGGTGTGATCCTTGAGGGTCACTTCCAGTTCAGGATATTCTGTGATTCCATGGCTCCACCATAGCGGGGACAGCACCCAGCGAGCCCCACTGAGAGCGGGGAAAGACGACGAACAGCAGAGGGAGAGGAGGAGAAGCAGAAGGAGGAGGAAGAAGGTCCCTCCCTGGGCCGCCCGTCCCGCCCCTCGCGTCACCCGTGCGCGCCACCTCCGCTCCGGCAGCGCCGCCGCTCCTCCGGCCGCGGCCCAGCGCGGGGTGAGCGGGGCCGAACGGGGCCGAACGGGAGTGCCGAGCTCCGGGCTCTGGGCTCCGGGGTGCCGGGCTCCGGGGTGCCGGGCGGGGCCGTGTCCCCGGGAGCCGCAGCCTCGGCCACGTCCCGGCGCTCCCGTCCCACAGGGAAGCGGGGCCGGCCCGGCCTGAGGGCCCGCCGCGGGTTGAGCTCCATAGCGGACTGGTCTTCCCCCCGTGCTCCTGGGGGAATGAGCGCTCTCCTGGCGTGTTCCCAGTGAGAAGGGAGCGCTCCGAATCAAACGGGTGGATCGGGAATACAGAATGAGCCAGCCCAGGGGGGAGCAGGGAGCCGGGAGCATTGGAGCGGCAGCACGGAGCGCTGGATTTGGTTTAGGTGTGCCAGCTCCGAGTGGCGATGCTGGGGATGTCATTGCTGAAAGTGACAATAACGAAAGTACTCTTTGGTCTCACAGATGTGACATCTCACAGAACCACCCTAGAACAGGCTGTGGATAGCTTTGGGAATGTGCAGCCTTTGCTTCGCTTCTCTCCCAAGCGTTCTTAGTCGGGCAAGGATTAATGGAGGTCTCTAGCCTCAGCTTGGGGTGTTACAATTCTTTAGAGAGTCAGAAGTGAAAATCAGGTTATTCAGATCACAAATTTGCGTTATTCAGGAGCTAAAGGTGTTTTTATTTTAAGGTTGGAGTAAGTAGAGATTAAGCAAGTTGTGTGTTTATGATTAAGACACAGTTTTGGAATCCTGTGATGAAGAGTTTGGGGGACAACTTCTTGCTTTGTCTCTGAATGCAGGAATTAGAACTGGCTGTTCTGAAAGAGATGATTTAGCAAAATCTAGTGATTATTTCCCCCTGGAATAGATGCTCATGTTGAAGTGCTGCCCTGCAATCATTTAAGAGCTTCTGTGTTCTCACACTAGGCCTACTGCCTTAGCTCGGAGTCTCTGATACTTTGCCTTCCCTTTTGTTGCTTTCACCATTATTCTCTCTTCTTAAATTACTTGAATTATTTTCATGCTTGATTTTTTCCTGCTTCCTTTAGAGTGCTTTGCCAACAGGAGTAAATCAAAGCAGGTCCTCCAATGAGCAGATATATGTATGTGAGATTATGGATGTTCCAAATTTGTGTTATTAAACAATAGGCTCTGTGTAATCACACTGAAGTGGGCTTAGCACTGTCCTGATGATTGCTCTTATCCATGATCTTTAATTTGTTATGCTCATATTCTGGAATCAACTCTGCAATATTTTTTAAAACAAGATTTTTAAACTTTTACTTCAGTGTCATGCTCTTGAAGGAACCTGCTTAATTTGTCTGAAGACTTATGTTATCAGTCATTCAAAAAGGCAAAGTACAGACAAGATACTACTTTAAATACAGGATTATGTGATTCCTATTCTTGTCTACTACAACCAATTCTGCAAAGAGTAAAGAAGACTTAAAACGGGGAGGGTTAGAAAAGCTGAGAGAAAACCCTTCTCGTGCTGCTTTAGCAGAGTGGATGTTGTCTGGTGGCCTAATACCAATGGTTTTGTCTTTGAGGCATTTTTGTTGCAGAGGTTTTTAGGTGAGAGATGACTGAAAGAAAATAAGCAGGGAAGCTGCTGATTTATTTTCTTGGAAAAAAAAATCTGGCATGAAAAAACTACTGTTTTCCTCTTAAAAAGAATAGGTATCATGAGAGACTGAAAGGAGAATGGAGAAAAAGCTGATGGAGATGATCAAGGGGAGGGAATTGAGATGGGAAAGATCCATGTGATTCATGCAGAGAAACATGATTTGTTTATAGTCCATTGTTATATGGATGATAACAATGTTTTAAATAGGGTGAGAAATTTTCATGAGGAAAAACTTCCCCAGGTCATTTTCTCTGTATGTTCAAGTGGTGCCTTACCCTGTGCTTGTGTAGCAGTCGGTGGTATCACACAGGTGCAGTTTTTGGCAGAGCTCACACTAGAATTGTTCCTGTGGATGGAGTTTAAGGGTTGTCTTGAGCAAGCTGAGTGAGTTCTGCCAATAAACCATGCTAGCCATGGTAAATTGTGGTGCAGTGCACTTCTATGGTTGGTATTGCTGTCTGTAGGCTGGGAATTGTCCCTGAATTTGTGGTGCAGTTCGCAGGGGTCTTAGGATGAGGGAAGAGACGAGAATGTTGACTCCATGTTTCAGAAGGCTTGATTTATTATTTCATTATATATGTCATATTAAAACTATACTAGAAGAATAGAAGAAAGGATTTCATCAGAAGGCTGGCTAAGAATAGAAAAAGAATGATAAAAAAGGCTTGTGACTGACCAAGACAGTCTGGACAGCTGGACTGTGATTGGCCATTCATTAGAAACAACCACACGAGACCAATCACAGATCCACCTGTTGCATTCCACAGCAGCAGATAATCAATGTTTACATTTTGTTCCTAAGGCCTCTCAGCTTCTCAGGAGAAAAAATCCTAAGGAAAGGATTTTCCATAAAACATGTCTGTGACATGTATTCATGTAGATGTTCTTTATCAGCAGGATTACATGCTAAAGTGTTAGACTGATTTTATGCAAGGAATGTGCAATGTCAAATGAGTGCTTAGTGTATGACACATTCCTTTGTTTGCCCTAATTCTGGGGTAGCTGGTTCTGCTGTGAGCTGGGTGAAGAGCTGTGTCTCTGCTTTTTCAGGAAGGTCCATCTGTGTGCCCACTGCTCCAGGGGAGATGTCCAACGTTTCCAGCTACGCCCTGCGCATGGCCCGCCTCAGCGCCCAGATATTCGGCGACGTGGTCAGGCCCACGGACTCCAAATCCATGAAGGTGGTGAAGCTGTTCAGCGAGCAGCCCCTGGCCAAGAGGGACGAGGTGCACAACTGGTACCCCCCTCACAACACCTACTACGCCCTCATGAAGAAACTCCGCTACTTTGGCCTCTACAGGTGCTCCAGGAGTGGGAGCAGCTTGGAGATGGGAAGGGGTGGCTGGAGTCTTGTTCCAGTTGTTTCCAGGGGGATGGAAACAAGGGAGGGATTCACAGAACAACCAGTGGGGAGAACTTGGGGTGTGGAAACCGGGGAGATAGACATGGGGTGGCAATGAATTGAGGAAAATTTTGAGGGAGAGCTCCAACCTCTGACCAATCACTCGATGCCCCTGCTGGAAGGTTCTAAAAAGAGGGGATGGGAGGCCAAGTTATTGACAGGGCTCCAGGGAGGAGACTGGGGAATGAATCAGCAGAAATTAGAGGATTGACATGGGGGAGGAGGGAAGCAGTTTGGGACAAACAGGTTGGGGAGAATGGGGGTACACAGATCAAATCATTACAGAAACAGAACGAAGATAATAAAACCACGTTGGCGCTGGGCGGGCAGTGACTGGAGGGTCACAAAGGGGACATGGCAACAGTTTTCCTCAAGGGAAGTGTTTCCTTCTGAATATGGGGCATATAGATGTAGGCACTTGATTGTTGGCACTGAGGGCAATAAGAGCAAAAGTGACTGCTGGCTGACTTTTATCATAATTGGAAGTTTCGTGAGAAAGACTGGAGGTTTAGCTGTGGGCAAGCAGTTACCTAAAAAATAATTCCTGCTTTTGCTTTATGGGGAAGAGAAGAAACCTTTCTGATAGACAGGAGATGCATCTGTAGTTCTGAATATGGCAAATGAATGTGCTACAAAGAGGTGATGTTAACACAGACTTGCCATATATTTCTGTCATTCAACAGCTAATAAGTGAAATTTAGAAGAGACAGAAAGTCTCTGTTAGGCCAGAGGGCCTTTTTATTCTTCAAAATAAATTAAATTAAATTCAAATGTGATTTAAATAGTCTTGTTAATTCCCGCTTCATCCAAACCAGTTGTATAATTTCTAAATTAATTCCCACAGTCTGTATCAGGGAGAATTGTACTGCTGAAGAACATCAGCAGGAGTCAAATGCAGTTTTTTCACTTCAATCAGGTAGCTCTAGAAAAATCTTTAAAAGTGAGGCTGCAAACCCTGTATAGTCAAAACAGATTACTTGTCAGTAGTATGACAATACTGAGCATCAAGGATTGCATTCAGGATGCTCTTGCTTTGGGTAGGTGTGCCAACACTTCCTAGACTGGCTGTTTGTTTACACTGAAAGCCTCAATGTGATGCTAATGTTCTTCACTCTTCTCCTTCCCCTATTAAGTTCCTTCTCTAGCTGTAAACAGAGAGTTGGAAGAAGAAAAAAAAAATGTAATGAAGAATCATAGACTAATGGGGCCAGTAATAAATCACAAGCTTTTTGTTTCTATTTAGAGAAGTTTTGTTTAAAAATAGCAGTGCAGCAATCTTAGGCCACATTGGATGCAGTTGTGACTTTTGAAAATCACTTTGCACTAAAAAAATACAGGGACAGATTAATAGAAGTTATTAGAAAGTGATTGAGGATTAATTATCCCTGTCAACCCCTTCATCCTCCTTCCTATTTTACTCTCTTATTAATATTCTCCCAGTACTGATGCCATCTCCATAGCTCATTCCTGAAGTCACCTGAGAGCAGTGCCATGTGCTGTAATTACTGCTCAGCATGGCCCTGTTTCCCCAGGAGCTAATGGCCTGAACACAGGAACACAATGTGCTCTGCCTGCACTGCTGGGCTGCATAACAAGGGGGAAAATCTTACTCTTGTCTCTTGCTGGTTTTTGCATTTTACTGCTCATTTAAGCACAGGGGATCAAAAAACGGAATTGAAATAATACACATGTGCACATACCCTTTGTTGCTGAAAAGGGCAACCCTGCTAATTCTGAAAGTATCAGAGGAAATCTTGCATGTTATTATTCAGTGATACTGCCAGCAGTAACATGGAATACATTGCAGCAAGCTTCAGTTTGGACTTCATGGTTAAAAAGTTTTGATTTTTGTTTTTTTTTTTTTTCATTAGCATGTAGTTCAAAGAACTATTCATATCTCTGGATCCCAAGAAAAAGAATAAACTTTATTCCTTCTCCCCCACCTAGGGATGAGCATCAGGACTTCAGGGAGGAGATGAGGCGATTGAAAAAGCTCCGTGGGAAGGAAAAACCAAAGAAGGGGGAAGGAAAGAGAGCTCTCAAGAAGAAATAGTGCTGCTTGAACAGTGTGACTGACTGCTCTGGAAATGCTGGGGAATGGCTGGAGAAGGCTTGGCATGTGGGCTGTGTGTGGGGCACAGGAAACACGCTGTGAAATTGTGGGCTCCACCTTGGGAATGCACTTGGGTCTTTGAAGTTTTACTGGTTTTGAATTTCTATACTTCAAATATACTGTATATTGCAGCACAATAATAAAAGAAAAAGTGCTCCATGTTTTTCTTGAAACCACCTGCAGCTGTTTCAGTTTTTCTTGATCTGGAAATTGTTTGCTTTTCATTGTCTGTTTTACTTTCTTGTGTTAATATCAACACTGTTTTATGTGTGGCCACAAAAAACCAAGGATTCCTGCTGCTGCAGATGCTTGTCAATCTTATCTGTTATAATTAGTTTCATTTCAGGTAGCTCTAGTGCTTTTTTTTCAAGTTTTTTTTAAGGTTTTTAAGCTGCTGTTGCACCCTGTTGTTCTGTGCTTTTCACTGGACAATACTTTCCAAACCACTGCCTGCCCACAGCACTCTCATTGTACCCTAAACTTTTAGATACTACAACAGAAGAGGCTGAAATACTAACTAAATCCATATAAAAATGGAACTATTACATCCAATAATGAAATTTTAAATATTTTTTACAGTAGACTTATTCCAATTGCTTGGAAGACGTGTATGAAACACTACCTAAGACAATGAACATTTTTATTAGCATTCAGTAGGGATTTTATCACTAGGCTCCTTTGGTTGCTAATATTAATCATTGGTGGATCTACATAAATTTGTAACAGCTCTGCCTCACCAAGGTTATTAATTGAAGAAGTGTTGATTTTATTAAAAGGTGTTTCTGGTGAGCTGCATAGTTCTTGTTCAGTGTCCTTACTTCATGTTACCTGTTTTTCTAAGCTCTAAGAGAAGCTGATTTTAGGAAGTCTGCAGTGTTGTGGGAGAAGTACGTGAGTTCTCACCACAGTCAAACAAATGCTGTACAAGTTAATATTTTATATTCACTGCTCTGTACTGCAGTGCTAAGTTTCTCTCTTATTCTGATTTAAAATCCTATTAGTAACTTACAACTTTTCCTCAACTGTAATGTTCTTAAGCCATTTTTGTGTTCCATCCATGTGTTGTCTGTGGGTTGTGACCTGTCTGGTGCTGAAGTACCTGCAGCCTGTGGTGGGCCTGCTGGGAAGTTTGTGGTTCCTGGGACATGAGCATGCAGCTGAGGGGAAGGGTCTGCCTCCCTTGAACACACCTTTGGGAAGAAGGGCACCATGGACTCACATTCTGGGCAGGAAAGAGAATTATCCAAGTAGAAAAATTGCTGCTGCCTGACACTTTCTGGTTTGGAGTGTGAGGAGTGAAAAGAAGGACCCATTCTGAACCTCTTCAGCAGAGCTACTGCAGCAGCTCTTCACAGCTCTTTGTGCCTTCTAAAATTAAATCCAAGATAAATAAAAATGTTTTCCCTGCTGTTTCAGATGAAAAATCAAGACCGTCTCTTCTGGTGCTCTAAAACTCTTAAAGCTTTAACAATATAAACACGCAAGGGAACAAAAAGTGTGCATGCATCAAAAAGGGAATTGTGGTTCTGTAAAGGAAGTGTGAATGGCCTTAAACTTGGTTATGAGTAACTTATAGCAATATATAAAATACTTGTGCAACATCATGAAACTGATAGAAGTGCCTGTGAAGTAGGAGATGTTAGACAAATGGACTGAATCGTTGATTTTCACCTTTTTTGTGCAGCATTTACAAAAGCAAATGAATGGAGGAAAAAAAAGAACAACCGCTTTCTGAAAAAGTATAAGTGCAAGAGAGGTTGCCCTGCCTAATTTTTCATGATTTTTCTTCTGTAATACTCATTTGCTAGAACTTGGTCTTTTCAAAAATGGTTGTTTTCCCTTCTCCTAAGTTTCAGCCTAAAATAATGATGACTCAGCCAGTACTGGAGCATATCCTAGTGTTAGCATAATCCATTGCTTGCTGGGAGCATTAGCATAACTATTTTGTTCCAGAAAATACAGCCTTCTCCTTTCCATAGCTGGGATAGAAATAAGCATTTTCCTACCTCCCTTCTAACCTGTGCTCTGTCATTTAGAAATAGGCATGGCCTGAAGAAGACTGCATTCCATGAATCACAGGGACTAGACAGATTGGGAGTCAATCCTGAAGCATCACAGGAGGTATAATGCAGTAGCAGCATTTAAGGGAGGAAGGAGAGTTCTGGCCACGTTCTGAAGGATAAAGATAGGAACATTTATGCTTTATACAGCTATTGGTATAATGGTGGTTTATGTTAATCCATTTTATGTACAAATTACCAAGTTCAACTGGATCTTTATTTTCAGTTTTCCCCTTAAAATGATTTTTTTTCACCATTGAAACTGCTGTGTCTTGTTACAAAAGTCACTCTTTTCCTGAGGAAATGAACTGAGTGCCCTCAGAAGATGTATGTTTTAGTTCTTGTTTGGAATAAACCTGGTTAGCTGACCTCCAAGGGGCTAACTGAGAGTAAAAACTAACCTCTTCCCAATCCTGAGCAGCTTCATTAAGGGCCACTGTTTCTTTATTTTGCAGTGCTTTAGCTATGCCTGTCTTTAATTGGACTCTGCTATGATGTATTCATAGCTGCTGAGCACTGCTGTGATAATCACAAGCTATTTTGTAAACAGGCTGACCCAGTTGCTGTATATATCCTATAGGGAGTGCAGCTATTGCCAGAACCTCTCACTATTGCAAGCCCTGCAGACAGGCAGAAGCTCACTTGCATGTGACTGTACTTTGTAATGGTGGAAAGAAAATAAAAACCCTCAGTGTTGCTTTCTGGCAGAGCTACCAGTTTGTTAAAATCTGTGCTCTGCTCAGAAAAGTAATAACTTGAACAAAGTTTCTCCTAATGTGGAAAGAGTCTGTTCTACTCATTAAAACAGCATGCTGGGTTTGCACAGCTCAGAGTGAAATGCACCTGAATTTCTCTAAGGTCTTAGATAAATGCTTTGTCTTGCTTGCCTTTGCTTCCCCAAGAGTAAAATTAGAATAATGATCACTTGGTGAACAGTGTCATGAGGTTAAGCTGCTTCCAGGCTGGGAGTTTACCCCAGGAGAACCCTGCCATGGGCAGCTTAGTCTGGCTCCTGGGGTAGCACTGGGAGCTCTGCTGGTTCAGAGACATGGGTGTATGCAACAGCTGAGGACACTTTTAACACATAAGATAAGTGTGGTATAGTTCCTTTGTTTGCTGTTCTACTTTAGATGTTTAAAATGTCAACTGCTGAAAAAATCGTGGTTTGGTCAGAAAGTAAAAATTAAAAAAAACATCACAGTTATTTCTTAAACTATAAATATTTTTGAAAATTTGAAGTATCTGTGTACATCTTCCTCTACCACTTTGAGTTTGAAGGCTATTTTAGGATAATTAAAAAAAAATCAACAAAGACTGAAAAGATTCACAAATTTAATGTTTTATGATTTCATGTTTTTGAAAAGATTCACAAATTTGAAAGGCTGCTTTGATGAGGGAATGACTGTGTTTTGTGTTCTTTCTTTCTTTTAAAGCAGAAAGGATAATATGCAAGGAAAAGAAATGCTATGGGGATCTCAGATCAATTTCCTTAAACTCAGTTGTCCTCTGTAACTGGTTGTGGAACTTCTTCTACAGTCCCTTGGCAGTAGATTCTGAAAAGAAAATCCTTCAAGGGGACATTCTCTGTTCATCATCTTGATACTGAGTTGTGTAGGAGCAGAAACTCTTCCTGGTTAACCTCCTGTAGGTGCAGCATCATTTCTCTAAACTGTCCAAACAACAAAGGAAAATTCAAAGGTTCTAACAAAAATTTAAGAGGAAAAAAAGATTGTATGAGGCAAGTAAGAGAAAGCAGAAATGAGAACAATACCCTTGTCATAAATCCTAGAGGTAAAACTTGAGTTATGTTCGTAGGTCAGCTATTTCAAATGGATCTTTCTGTGCCTGCACAGCTGGGGTAGCATGAAAAAAGGTGGTTTTGCCTTTTCACTTCTTTCTTTTCCATGTCCTTTTCCTCAAGTACAATAATAAAAACAAAAATTAATAATAATGATAATAATTATTATGATGATTATGATGTCTTCAATACAAAGAGGAAGGAACAGACAGGAAAACATCTGAAAGAATTTCTTGTGAAGGCTCAATCACAGCAGAGCACAGCAATAATGTGTTCAAATGGGGAGGAGCATGACTCTAGAAAGATGTTAGAGGGACATCACCACCACACTGGCTGGGAAGTTATTTAGGGTTGTCTAAAGGGATAAATATGAAGTCAACAGCATGATGATCATGACATCAAAGTGTCTTTATGCATACTGTGTTGAATTGTTCTGGGTGGAATGCTGGGGAAAATTCCACAAAGTGAAGTACTTAGAAAAACTGAGAAGATTCCCAAGAAGAAGGTTTGGTTTATGTTGTCTGAGTCAGGCACAGCTGGGCTGAGCCAAGTGTTATAAAATACAACACTGAGAGCAGTTCTCTCCTGGAGCAGGAGGAGGGAGACTGGATGAGCTAATACATTTTCTCATATCATACCTGGGTCTTTGAAAACAAATCTCACCAAGAGCTAAAAAAGGATTTTTATATCCATTGGGTTTTCCGTCTCTGCTTGAAAGTACTTCACTTCATCCCAGGGCTCCTGAAGCTGTTTGTAAATATTTCATAGAGTTCAGAGGGTCTCTCTCACTTCAGTTGCTGTTTCTGTGTTTCTGATGTTTGCCTCATGGGCTGCTTCAGTAAATAGGCTTTTAATGGTTTTAGGAGCAAAAAGCACCTGAGGTCCAGCAAGTCTAAAAGCCATCCTACTGCCACACACAGTGCTGTGTTGCTGCAAATATGTCATTGTGAGTGCAGCACATCCCTCTGTTTCCACTACAGTCTTGCCTGGATAAAAGTGAGTGGGGTCACTTGCCTCCCACCTTTCCAAACTAAATCTCTAAAATGTGATTCTAGATTAAAGCATCTCCAGAAGTGGCCTCACTTTAGAAGCTGCATAAATACTGAGGATCTCCAACTGGTATCAGTGGGATTTACCTTGGGTACAGATAAATCCACTGCCAGCCTTTGGCTGATGGTGGCCTCTTAAAGACAAATCCTCATCTCTCCAAGACTCTGTGCATGCCAAAGGTGCTTCCCCAGTGACATTCCCCAGCTGGACCTGATGATCCCTGTGGGTTCCTTCCAGCTCAGCATCTGTGATTCAGTCTGGATCAGAG